GGTTGACAAGGAATATGTTGGTCACTGTACAGTGGGTGGGGAGATCAGCAAATACTTTGTCAGATGTGTTAGCTAAGCAAGGGGTAAATAGGGAAGAATTATTTTGGGCTCAGTTGTGATTCTTGTTTTTCTTTCCTAGTTTACTTGTAAGATTCAAGGAGGGGCTGCAGCTCGTGCCTCTTGTTGGGATGATGTATGAACTCACTCTAAATTTGCTTCTGAATCAATAAACTTATTATTATTCATCAAAAAAAACTTTCCTCGTTGATCCCAATTTATGAGGTAGAAAACACAGTTTCAGTCATGTTTCAAGTTGACTTTGTCCAAGTTAATCTCCATCATGGACCTTGTATGATCTGTCTTGATCCTTTAAATAAGAGATGCATATAGCAAGTTCTGAGGCCCTCACTAGCCCATTGATCTCGCAGCCTAGTTCTGAGCTTTTTCTAAATAACAATTGGAAAGAGAAGAGACAAATGGAAGAGGGTGACTATACATACTTTTTTCCCTGGCAGGTCACAACCCAATACCATTACAATTAGCAACGTTTTGCTTCCGACTATATGGGCTTGGTTTCAGGAATCCTGGTTTGCTTCCATTCTATTTAGTGGTCTATCTGTTGTTAAATTATGAGTGCTTAAATCTTTTCTTACTACTTAAACCCATGTCCTTTTTGGTCTGCCTCTAGCTCTTCTAGTCCTTCAACTTGCAAAAGCTATTTTCTTCTTACGGGTTCTGTATGTCTTCTATGCATATGATCAAATCATCTTAGTAGTTAACTTTCTCTCATTTTATCACCTATTGGAGATACTCCTAGGTTCCTTCGACTTTATTTCTAACCCTATCTTTTCCATTTTTTGCACTCATCCATCTCAGTATACACATTTTTTCACACAGTTTTTTGGATATGTTGTGTCTTGATGACCCAAAACTCTGGTCCATATAGCATTGCTAGCCTTGCAACTGTTTTAATAAACTTTCCTTTTAACCTAAGTTGTATGTGTATCACGTAAGACTCTGGATGCAGCACTCCAATTTACTCTTCATGCTCTAATTCTATGCGTGACATCCTCCTCAATCTCTCCCTTGTTATGAATTACCAAAGCAAGGTAATAGAAAAGATTACATTGATTTACCTTTCCAATCCTAAACAAGGAAGAGAGAAATAAAAATCAAGGCTAGCCTACCCACCAGTTACGCTACATACTCCAAAGTGGATCGTTCCTATCGGTCCCAATTTTGGATGGACTATCAGCAAATCAATATTCAGATCTGGATGTCCACATTATTGAGCAGCTCAAGTCAGACATTAGATGCTGAATATTTCTGAGCTTATATCTGAATCTCCAAATCCCTTTCTTATTGCCTTTCAGCCAATCTATTACCACCTTAGAATCATCTTCTACTAATGTATTCCTGTAATGAGCTGATGTAGCCAGTATTAACCCAGTTAGGATCACCATGATCTCTGCTGTGGTGGAGTCTCCAACTCCTAAAGGTCCTGACTAAATTGCAAGAATGGGTCCTACCTCGTCTCTGAATAGTGAATACTCCCCCAATACTTGAGTGACCCAGGTTGCCTCTACTACATCTATTCAAATTCAATTTAGTCAAGTTCCTTTGCAGAGGATTCCAACCACAACTCTGAGCTGTCTTTGAGGTTGAAGAAGAGGCTATAGATTGCTGCCAATTGCTGATGGTAATATCTGGAAAGTAGTCTTTGAAATTTTCTAAAGTTTTGACCCAATGGAGCACCTTCATCTCTGAATAGTGTTATGCATCTTCATTCTTCCTCACACAAGACATCTTTTTTCATAAAAAAAAAGAAACAAAAAAAAAGAGAGATCCTCTTTCCTCTTCTTACTCCTCATCCCCATCCTCTTAAGGAGCCTTAAGGCCTCCTTGGGCTGAAAATTTCTGCTAGCTCCCTAGGGGGACTCCTGCAGATTTGTATTCCTATTTTTATTAAATTTACATAGCACATATTCTATTTTGGTCCCCCCTCATTTTGTAAAGCCTCTTATTTGTAAGGTATTTGATTATGAACTTAATTTTTTCATTTAACTTTTTGCTAGTTTCATCAATTAATACAATATCATCCGCAAACAACAAATGCCATGGGTCCTCACACACACACACAGACACAGACACATACATATAAAGGCATCTCTGCTGGTGGTGGAAAGACCTGAATACCTAATGCATTGGCTAAAGAGGCATGCTATTGTCATTTGAAATGTTGTTATTTGGCGTTCCTCTTTATACTTCAATTTTCCTTCCTATATCTTTTCTTTATGAAGCAGATTTGGTAAATGATATTAGTTTTTTCTTTTCCTTCTGGTTTGCAGGATTGTGAGCACACAATAGATGGGAATGACACAGGTTTGTTTTTCTCCTCTTCCATTTTGTTTAAAGTCATACGTCTGATTTTATTGATGTGTTTTATTTTGTATGACTGATCAAGTAATTTCTTTATTATTATTTTCATGCACTTAGATTGTGTTCGGTAAGGGTGTAAAAAGCAGATGTATTGATGTTAATGCAAATTTGGTCAAAAAGTATAAATGCAAAATTGGTTCAGTTTTGCATTGATTGATTTTGTATTGTGTTTGGTTGTGATGGGTACAGATATGTATTTCAAGACCAGAATCTACCTATTTTACATTTACCAACCTTGGGTGCAGAGTATGTTTCCATTTTCTGGAAGCAAACTTTGCTCCTCTTTTGAATGCAAAAACATCAGAAAAAGAAACAAAATTACTTTCATTTTCAGTACAAAACCGAACCAGAGTACAAAATTACCTTAGTTCTCCATTTGCACTCTTTTTGAATTTTTTCTCATCTCTCTCTCTCTCTCTTTCTCTCTTTCTATCAGTTCTGCATTTGCACGCTTACTGAATGCAGTCTTGGATTTTTTTAAAGTTTGACCCTATTGGTTAAAATTTTTCTGTTCTTTTCAACATTACAATACAAGGGGCTCTCTGATAACAGCTGAAATGGCTGAACTGGATGACTTATTTCTTTTAGTGGATATAATTACTAAATAATAAAGTATTCATCTTCATGGATATTGTTATCAACCCAACATCAGCTTCAGCCATTAAGGAGCTTGTAGCCTCCTGAATATCTTATTCACTGGAATACAAAGTAATAAGTCATTCAGTTCAGCCACTTGTTAAAGAGCTCCTAATTTATTATATAGGGGCTTATTGTTTGGTAAAAAGTTCAGGCCTATGTATTGGAGTTTTTCCTCCTCTTTTTTAACTATTTATCACCAAATCTGCTTGGAATCATTATGAAGTTTTTGGTTCTTAACTTTTTACCAGATGGTTAAAGTATTTTGTGTGGTGATGCTTGTTAGGAACCGAGGATTTCCCATTAGCTTAGCAGTCATATATTAATATGTAACCCCTTGTCCATGAAATTTGGTCTGTAGTTTTCATGGTGATTGCTAAATGAGCATATACTTATTTCACGTGAGTGTCAGATATGTAGGCTTTCATGTTTTTATAGTAAGAAAAGAATAAAGTTATATTAAAATGTTGAAGCTGTCCAAGCCAAATGTACTACTATACACCAACTCCCATGCTCTAGAACAGCCAATTGTAGAATTAGACCTGCATCTGCTATCAAAACAGCAAATGTCAAAAAGCAGAGCATGATCCAACCAGTTTTTCCACAGAGCCAGTCACAATTTATCCCTAAAACTTTCTGCTTGGAATTTCACTCAGCCTAGCGCTCAACTGACCTGTACTGCCTGTTTTCTGCTCCTGATGCTCCTAGGAACTCCCCTCATAGGTGTATGTTTTGATGGTGATAGTCTGTAGAAGTTTGGCCTGTAGCTTTCCAGTCATATGTTTAATGTATAACCCCTGTAGGTTTTCATGGTTTACATAGTTCTCAAATCTCAAGTATGTAATGTAATACTAGCAATTGCACTATGAAAAGAAAACTTTTTAAATTCCTTTTCTCTTGGTGATCATGGAATATGTTGTTTTCTTGGAAGGGTGATGGTTGAAGAGGTATGGACTCCTTGGATATTAATGTTGAACTTTTGTGGACCATAAGATGTACTAATGAGTTTAGTTCTTATAAAGTACAAGTATATTGTTAAAAAAATAGAAAAAATATATATTAAAGATTACCTCTGTAAGTTTAGGGCTTTTTGCTGGGAGGTGATTCACTTAAAACAAGTAATTGTGGGGTTTGACTGCTTACCACCTTCTAATTCCTGTCCATTTATCTTTTCATTTTCTTTATTTGATTTCTTGACTAGGCTACTTGAAGTGGGTAACTTATTTCAGCCTTATTTCTTTTCCCCTCCTAAAAGGAGAGGAAATATACTATGGAGATGTGCTAAGGCAGGAATATTGTGGTATGTATGGGAGGAAAGATATGCAAAGGTGCTTTCTGACAAAAAGCAAAGAAAAGAAGCATTGATTTAATTAGTATCTGTTAGAATGCCTTGTTGGGTTAAAACAAGGAAGGAGTTCAATCTTTTCACTGTTGATGGCATCATCAAAGCATGGCAAGCAGTTGCTGCCTCTTGCACAGCTTACATATTCAGGCATCTTGGCTGGAGAGTTCCTCTACCAGAAGTACTAAAACTTAATTTTGATGGTTTTGATCTAGGCAACTTGGGAACTCTAGTATTGGTTATTTATTCAGGAACTATAAGACAGACACTTGTCCTATGCAAGCACTATAGGGTATTGTGATTCCATTAGTGCTAAACTCTCTTCCAAAACCCAAAGCCTGAGGTTTGGAATATAGGTAGAGCAACAAATTGGTGGTGGTGGAGACTTTAAGACCATCATAAATTGGATGAAAAATAATATACCTGGACCATGGAGGTATAGACATGATATCAGGGAAGAAAAATCTATCAATAGAAAGCTAAATGCCTTTTTCAATTGGGTGTTAAAATTAGCTAATTCTGTAGCTGACACTGGCAAGGGTCAAGGGAAGGAGTCAGCAGGACTCAGCTAATATGGGGCCCTAATCTAATGAACTGGTGAGCAAGTTAAATAAAGGGAGGGAAGGAGCCAAATGACTAACCTTGATTGTATTATATCTCTTGCACAATCTAAGTAGGGAGTGCAGAGGCAATATTTTTCTCATGTACCATTCATTCTTTTCTCAGGTATGAATGGAATCAACCTGATCTTTACTGATAAAAATATAATAAAAATTAAAGTATACCTGTCACCCAGTCTGAGACTAAGTACCTGTCTTGGATGTCTTGGATTCTGAAGCATACACATATCCATGATATATAAGTTTTACCCTCTATCTGGTACTTTCATAAGTTTTATCAGCCTTTGTGTAGTGCTTTTACAACATTTCTCCAGGGAAAAGAAAGCACAAAAAAAGGGTTCTCTATGCCTAGTAGCATTTCCTTCTGCGAGGATGCATTGTGTCTGCATTCTTTCATTTTTCTAAATACCTTTGCTTATTTTAATGATTTTCCCCTTGTATCTCAGGTTTTCTTAATGTAGATGATGACGATGTGGAGGATGAAGAGGACAATGGCATGCCAGGAGGTGAAGAAGCCCAATTTTTTGATAACAGTGGATGGTCATTGCGTACAAGGTGGTTCCTTTTCTTTGAGCCTCCTTTATTTGATCGTGAATAACTAAATATAAAAATGCATTAAAATAAAACAAAAAGAAAAATAGGATGACAAGTAATCGCCAAGGAGAGGAGAAAATAAACAAAACTTAAGTTGGATATACCATTGTTTTAAAAGAGAGAGGTGCAGTAAAACAAAAGCACAATGGCTTCCTAACAACCGTCATTTGAGGTGTGAGGTGAGGTGTCTGCCTGAACAAAGTGGAGCAGAACTTGTCAAAAAAAATTGGACACATAAAATATGGAAATCTCTATGCTATTTTGAATAAAACACACAAATCTCCATCCTAGCATAATTTGATAAGCCATATTTTAATGCCTATAAAATGCTATAATACAAACACATAGAAAGCATACAAATCCCTGAAGGGTGAAGGCATTAAGGTAAGAAGTCAAAATTTAAAGTTTCATAATAATTATAGAATAAATCATGGATGGGTAGCAATAGGGGGCAGAGCTCTTATTTTAGGAAAGAAAAGAAGAGAAGGGGCTCTTCAAGGTATTCAAAGCATCTTTGTTTTTATTTTCTTTCTAAAAGTTGATAGACCATTACAATGGTGTAAAACACACAAGAATAAATAACAAAGCAAAATTACAGAGGGTGTGTGCTTGGGTTACATTGCCAGTATGCCAGATGTACAACGAAGATTAATGGTGGCTTCTTTCTCTCCTATCTTGAGCAAAATATAGTTGACTTTCCATTTCCATTATTTTCCTCCTTTTTGAATAAAAAAATGTTATTTGATTTTTAATTTCTTCTTATTATAGTGATTGAGTTCTTATTATTCATTGCATGTTAGCTTAATATATTTCTTCCCCTTGGATTCTGTTTTTTATAGAGCTGTGGCAAGGTATCTCCAGACCTTGTTTGATAACGAAGCTGGGCACAGTAGAAAACTACTTTCAGTGGACAACCTCTTAGCTGGTAAAACTCGAAAGGAAGCATCAAGGATGTTTTTTGAGACGTTGGTGAGTTTATCACATCTTGTTTCTTCTGGTTACAAAATTTAAGAATTTCATATTCACTGATATTGTATATCTTCTTTATTTGAAGATACTATATGACTAGGAAAAATAACATTTGGCTCTAGTATTCTTTGGTCGTTTGCTATAGACATGAACTTTTCCTTCATGTTCAACTCAGTTTTATTACGGTACAATATTTTTTCATGCATTTTGAAAAAGGGTATTATTAGTGCTGGGCTTTTTGAAAGCTTTATTTTGATTGATCTACACTTACCTCCAATTTGCTCTTTAGAGGACTTACCCTTGATATAAAGGGGGGGGGGGAATTTTTTTAATGTATTGGTGTAGCATTTAAATCATGCAACGCATTACGGTTTTTTTTCATTTTTTTGAGAATTTTGTTTTATCATAAATGATATGAAGGAGTTGCATCCCTACATAAATGGTGCCTCCAGTAGTAAGATCAAGGCACAGGAAAAATGCAAGGGATTTTTTGCCTGAGGTGCATGTCTTGTTGAAGCAAGGCACAAAATGTTTTTATTACAAAAGAACACCAGAAAAATGTAAACTTGAATTTGCTAAGAAACTAAATGTTTTAAAAGGTCTATTGACTCAAATAAAAACATAGAAACATAACATATACAAAATAGCAGTTCATAATAGCAATTGTGGAGGTGTAGGCAAAGAGGGTAGTTTCGATTCACAAGAAGTTGTGACAGAAAGGAGCCTAGAGGGGATACCAAGACACAAATCATCCAGATCCTGGAAGTGGCATGGCTTAAAATGTCCTTGAATTGCCTAATAATTCCACGACATATTTTCATTTCCATGGGTAACAAAATTTTACCGGAGTTGACATATTCCCCAATGACGAACACTAATCAGCACCATGTGTAGTACAAGAGATAGTTCCCATGGCATTTCCATTTCCACTTTCATGGGCAGTGACATGAAATTTTACTGGAATCAACACATTGCCCATTGAACACTACGTCACTACCAGCACTTTATGGAGTGCAAGAGATAGTATGTACATATTGTAGATGTGTGGAGTAACAGTGTTATTGCCCTCCTAACTTACATGATTAACACTTTGAGCTAGCTCAATATTTCATTTTAAACATGAAGTTGAATATTGTTTTTTTTTTTGTGTAATAGATTATTTGGTTGATCTATTACTGCCATTTACATTTTCTGAGTTTAAATTTTGTTTTAAATCATTCTATTATGAAGTTTTGAATCTTAAGGCATAGACGATGGTGATGTAATTGTGTAAAACTCAACTTTGATGGTAACCACTTGAGAATCCCCTTGCACTTCCAAGTTAAGAAACCCAAACTGCTTAGCAAATTTTAGATCCTGAAGAAGACTATACAACTCTGCTGTCACTGCACCAACAATGGTTATAGGTCCTGAATATAAAGCAAGCACCTTCCCTTCTGATGGGTAAGAAGAACAGAAAATGGGATGGTGGACACTTCGGCTAAACAAGGGACTACAAGACAACAAATTTTTTGGGCAAAATTCTAAAGTTTCTTCTGGTGGAGAACTATCCACCTAGATGTAATTCCTTCTATGTGATGCTTAATAATATTTATCTTTATTGATAAAAAAGCTTAGATGACAACTTACTTGAATCTATGTTTATCTAGTTAATTCTGGTTTTATGGAGCTGAAGAAAAAAGAGAGATGCAAGAGACAAGGAAGATAACAAAGTTATGTGAACAACCATAAAGTATTTGGGTGTGTGAACCCCTATTCTGTATTTATTCCAATCATCAATTTTATGTAGAAAGATACTAACAGCCCTGACTGTCCATACTCCAAGAAAATCCCATTACTGTTCAAGTAATTGGATGACCATGATTGGTATATAAAATCCCATTGCTGTTCAAGTATAATAGGGATGGAAAAGTTGTGCTGATGTATGTACTAGCTAGCCACATTGATAACTTATGATCGGTTTGGCTTAGTCAAAAACATCTTTTCAACAAGTCATTATAACATACCTTTGTCCTCAAGAGTCTAGGACTGTTTCCTTTGATCTATGGTTTGGTCAATAGGAGTATCCATAATCTTCACACCTAATTTCCTTGTGTCCTGTAAATCTAGGGTTTGTTTCCTTGGTGCAATGAAGGTACCCATATTGTACTGCACGACTTCAATGTCCAAGAAATGCTTCAGAATCTTTAATATTGAATTTAGCAACAAGGTTGCTCTTCAACTTGGCTATAATGCTTCAGAATTATTATTCCTTGTGACCACAATGCATGTAGTGATTAAATTCCTCTCTTTCAATGAAAAGAGTAATCATCTTGTGATTGTTTGAAGTCATCCTGCTAAAATGCACATCCAATTTTTTCTAACTTGGCTCTAGGACATTGCTTTAGTCCATGCATGGATTTTTTTAATCAACAAATAACAATAACAATAAGATGTTGTAAGACAAGAAGTGATGGATTCTTTTATGCTGCTGGAACAAAAGTCTTTTGATAATCCATACCATGGGTTTGATTATATGCTTTAGTTACTGGATTGGCCTTATATCTTTCAATAGATCCACAATATTTGTGCTTCGTATTGAATATGCATTTACTGCCTACAGGGTCTGCCTTGTGCAAGATCAATCAAATTCTATATCTGATATTTCCGGAATGTGCCCATCTCTTGTCACATTTCCTTCCACTTTGGATGAGAAACATCTGCAACATTCTACATGATTCATGCATTCTTTTCAAGGGAATCTTTTTCAAAAAAAACAAATCTGCATGATTCATGTAGCTGACTTGAAACAGTAGAATGGTTTATGTGATTTTTTCTTCCTTTTGGTTTTGACTCAGTTATGTTTGAATCAGTGCTGATGACATATTTGGGGCTTTTGTTTCTCTCTACCTCTATCTGATGTTTTCTATCAGCGAAGGATTAGTTTCTTATTTATCTTAATGTTTTGTTATGTTTCCCGTTTCTTTGTTTAGCTTATTGCAAGATTTGTTTAGTAGTCTACTAATTCAATTATTGGTTTTTTTATTATATTTCTGGAATCCAAATGCATTGATACTTTTCCATATTCTCTTTTTTCGTAAAATTCCGTATTGTGCAATCTGCTCATTATATACTGTAAATTTAATCATATGCAGGTTCTCAAGACAAGGGATTATATCCATGTAGAACAGGGAAATCCCTTTGACAAAATACATATAAAGCCCAGAGTAAAGCTCATGAAATCAGAATTCTGATGTCTACAAAGGAAGTTTATACAGAATCGAACATCACTCCCTGTAATTCTAGAAGCTGACGCTCGACTCCCCTCATGGATCTTCTTTCTCGTTGATTATGATTATTTTGTCTTTTTCAAGTTGTGTATTTTCTTCTTTTTTAAATGTAACAGGTAGATCATCACGCTAAGGGGATGAGCAGATAATCTGTAAGCTTATCAATCAAAAAAGAAAAAATGAGCAATCGCTTGTAATGTAATACCGACTGTACCCATATGTAAATATCTGTAAAATTATATCCATAATTGAAGGTGATAATTTTACTAGTTTCTATTATTAGAGCAAGCATTTTCGAGACCCATGACAATTTGAATGTTTTTTTTTTTCATTTGACTTGCACGAGTTCTGTTCTTTTCCGAGGGTGGTTTATGCCACTTGGATCCTGCTGTTCGCACTGCTGTTTATCACTTGCAATTGTAAAACCAATTACAAGTGATACACTGACATGGGCCCACATGTCAGTGTACGGAATACTACTGGTGTATTCACTTGTGGTTGGTTTTACAATAGCAAGTGGTAGATAGCAGTGCGAACAATTTGGGAGTGGGCTAATGGGAAAATGGCTTACCACTTTATGGTTATTTGTCCGGTTACTTATTTGGGGGTGGGCTTCATCTTTATTTGGATGCATTTGGAATCCTCCCCTGAGTTTGCAAAGCTTGTTCTTTTTTTCGTTCTTAACATAGTCTAAGAAAAGAGGGAAGATCGTGTGGAGAAGCGGTTGTGTGCTGGTCCGTATGAGAAGAGAGGAATTTTAGACTTTTTTTAGACAATGAAAGATCTAAGGAGATTTTAATTGTATTGGTACACCTAAGGGTTAGTCATTGGCTGAAACCTTTGGAACTTTTTTCAGATTTTTCCATGGCTGATCTTTTGAGAAAGTGGAAAGAAATTGCTACCTTGACTCAGTGTAAAATGACCTCTAGACCTTCTTTGGTCCCCCCTCTCCTTCAGGATTCATGAAACTGAATTTTGATGGTTGTAGTTTAAAGAATCCTAGGCCTACTGGGATTGGGGGAATTTTCAGAAATGAGGTGGGATTATTTTTGCTATATTCTCTGGTCCTATTGGTGAGGGTGACTCTCTTAGGGCAGAGATTTTAGCAGCTTTGGAAGGAATCAAAAGAGAGAGGATTAAACATTCAGTGCTTGATCATTGAAGGGGACTCGGAGGTGATAATTAGGTGAAGGAAGACAACAATGGTTTGTGGAGCTACAAAAATGAAAAGAAAAAATTTAAATGGCTAAATAGGGATATTGAGGTGAAGTACAGCTGGGTGAAGAGAAGTGCTAATTCCATGGCTGATGGATTGTCAAGCAAGGGGTGCTTAAGGATTCTTTGTTTTGGGCCATTTTTTAGCTTTCTTTCTTGTTCTCAGTTGTGGGGGGAGTTAAGATATTTTACCTCCCCTCTCTTGTACTTAAAGTCTCACATTTTTATAATCTAATAAAGCATTCTGTTATTGAACAAAAAATAGCAGTGCGAACAATAGATCCGGGCTTGGCATCTGGAGGTCCTTTCCAAACTTTGGAAAGCGTGCTATCATTTAGAGATTTTATATCATATTGAAGGCATAGGAGTTCATATAATTCCTCGTGTATCTTAGCTTTAATTGGATTCCTGCTGATGTATGATTTCATTGATTTGTAAAGCATCCTTGGCTCCTGCATTTTCAGAGGATGTTTCAGTCAATACAAAGAATGAAAGGAAAAGACAGACATGTTTACTAGAAATTCATTCTCTCCATGTAGTGATCACCACTCCTTGGATGTTGAAACCATGGTCTTTTACACAATTCATGCAATGCAGACAATTTTTGGCACTGAAAAATAGGTTGGGAGAAAGAAAAGTGGTGTTATTGTATTTGTATTCCAGTGTAAAATTCTTGAATTGGCTGGTTTCTAAGGTTTAGGTTCCTGCATGGAGTATAAGTGACATGATTTGAAGTATTGATATGTATCGTTGATACAGCTTTGTGTTTTGCTGATTGAGTTTGATAGGATGGATAAAATATAAAAAATGCCCTTACATGCTTTTAAAATATGTTTTAAAAACTGACCCAGGGGCTAAACTTGTGCGCCTTTGGTTGCGGGTCACTTGGAGGCTAAAATTGACTGTTTGGGTTGAATCAATGTTTTCATTTTGTCAAGAATTTGAGTCACCCAGGGGCTAAAAGATGATTTTTATTCTTGTTTTAGTAAAATCAAGAATTTTGTCAAAAGTCGTCTGACCTAGCCGGTTGGACTGTTAACCCATTTGACCCAGTGATCGGGTTACATGTAGTACATTTAAACATGTATGCAAATTTTTGGAGGCTATAATTTTGTGCTTCGATGTTTGATTGAGGTAATCTTCTTTTTGTTTTTTGTTTTTTTAATTTTGGGTAACATTTCAAGGCTAGTGCACCCCAAGGAGCCGTAGGTGCCTTGCCCCACTATTTTCATGAAAAAAACTCTTTTTTGGCTTAAAATTGCAAAAAATATTTTTACAAATAAATATTTAAAAATTGAATTAAAAATAGGGAAAATTCTAGAGTAGTACCATGTACTTTGGATCTAGTGCCACTTTGGTCCCCGAACTTTAAAAAGCGACAATTTAGTACTTGAACTTTCAAAACGTGCTAATCAAGCTGAGGTAGGTCGGGTCGGCATTGACATGGGGGAGTGGTATTTGTGTCATGGTTGAGCTGGCCAAGAATGCCATGTGGCAACCTCTGCGACTGTTCTCTCTAGCCACGTCAATACTACATGTGACGGAAGAGCACGATTAAGAAGGAGTGTCTTGCACGGGCAAGGAAGCAGACTCTGTTGGAAAGAAGAAACCTCTCGAAGACCTTAGTGGACGACTCCATCTTGATAACCCTGGAAGCCCTATGCATCTAGAACACGAACACCTAACTATAAATATTTATTACCTAGGTTTTCTACTCACTTTGCAATGTGTTTCACAATAATTCTAGGGTCCAAATTTTGCAGAAACAGAATTACCAAACTTTCATTGATGTGCCAACTCTAACCTTCTGTTGCGCCCAAATCATAAAGGTGGCCTATTTAGAGAATGTTGTTCAACATGAACTGTCCTGTTATGCCAAATGTCCATGAATTTGGCCACATCGTACCAGGAGCGACTCTTCAATAGGGGAAAAAGACAGCATCCCCACCAGTTAGTCACTTGTCATCCCCCATGACATGAAGCTCTGATCACATGGTAGATGGAGACAGTTTGCCTAAACGATCACCAGTCACCAAATATCCCTACCCAATTTCCAGGAGAATACACTCTTCACATTAGCCACATGTTTCACAAAAGTTTCTGTTAATAAAATCTTACACAAGACAGACTTGCCAAACTCTGGATGATATGTCAATCTTCTATTAGCCCAAGTATTGGTCTATTTGGAGACCAAGCTTCAATTTGAGCGATTTTGGTTTGGCACGTGGCCATGATTTTTAACACCATGATTCATTTGCAGGTGAGCTCATAATTTCTATTGAAAATTTCCATTCTCACAGACCAAATCAGCCCCCCACAAGATTGCCCCCACAACATCCTAAAGCACATTCCCGTCATGTATTGAGAACATCTCTCGATGATAATCTCAAAAATGATAATGTCATCATCAGGAGATACTCTCAATACACGGTCGAGATGTGTGTGGGACGTTGTGGGGGGCTGATTTGAACTCCCATTCTCATGGTAGCTTGACAGTAGTTAAAAAAATATCTCCAGCACTCATGTGAACCGGTCACAACCAGCCAAATCCCTCTGATGGAATTCCAAGGCTTTACAGTTATCAAAACTCTCTTAAATCCTTCTCCAACCATGAAACCACTTGAGCCTTCCTCCAAATCCAACCATGAGACCACCATCAAGATCATTCTTCCATCTCTCCAGACCCTTCTCCATTGCATTCAATGCCATCAAACTCAGACCTTCTGGTTCTGGTTCAGCAACCCCAAAGCATATATCTCTAGACCCAGTTCAGCAAATCGCCAAAACTACAACCTTCTCTTCTCAGAAACCCAAAAACATCCAACTTAAACCACCCACCTTCACTCAAACCAGGGATTTTTCTTCTGCAAGCTTGAACCCATCTCAGAAGAAGGATGATTCAGTGGGCTCAAATTCAAACTCCCCCCCTTCCAATACCATCCCTGTTGTTTCCATCTTCACTTCCCCTTCTGAGAGTTCTCCTCCAATCGATGCAAGCTCTTCTTTGAGGAAGCCCATTAGTCTGTGGCCCGGAAAGTATCACTCTCCTGTGACAAATGCTCTCTGGGAAGCAAGATCAAGAATATCCGAGAGGCAGATAGACCCACCAAAAGAGGCTCCTACACAGAGTGGATTTTTCACGAAAACTCCATCGCAGAGCCGGACCAGCATTGTCTACAATTTTTCTGGCGATTATGTTCTTAGAGAGCAGTACAGAGATCCATGGAACGAGGTCAGGATCGGAAGATTGCTCGAGGATCTGGATGCCCTCGCTGGGACCATATGTGGGAAGGTAACGAGGGTGTTCTTCAATCTATTATTTACTGCTCATCTTGGTTTTCCAGTGCAATTTTTCTAAATGCTTTGAATATTGTAAGATTCGGATCGTACCGAATGGTTGAACGTTAACCAATGACCCAATGAGCTCTTGGGTCCTAATTTAATGGCGGTTTTCATGGGTTGAAGGGACTAAGTTATTTAGTCCGGTCCAAGTTTTACAACGTAGTATCAAACTTCAAGGTGATAGACGAAAAATCTCTCTCCAACGGTCAAAAATATGATATGATAGTGTATAAAATAATCAAGTACCTAAAAATTAAGTTTTCCTTTGCTTTATTTTTCATCCATAAATATACATAAACATAATATGCCAACGAGGGATAGCACAGTTTGTGCGGTTTCAAATCTCGCTATTAAAGAATTTTGTGATTATTTGAGGTTGTTAATGTAATGTTGTAGTGTTTATTTGAAATTGGTGGAATGATTTCGAAGTCAAAACAAGGCTAGTAAAGATGATTAAATCCAAGGTAACTTTAAAAGAAATAAAAAATAACCAATTGATGATGATTCAATTGGTGAGATCTCTGGATGGTGGGATCTTGCTGCCATCAGGGTTGGGTAGGGGTGAGAAAAAAAAAATCAAATTGGCCGAAAAATTTGACCGAAACCAAATTGATCGGTTCGGTTTTAGTTAACCAATATAGAAAACCGGCAATTAACCGAACCGACTGGTATACATATATTTCTATATATTATATATATATTTATGTATATTATATATATATATATATA